GCTCATAATCTTTCCTTTGTGACTCTATGGAAAGTATAATTTGATAGTTTAGAAGAGATTCTAATAATTACATCATTATAAAGCATTATACTTTTAAATGTAGATGTCATAATATTGCTCATTTACTTGAAGTGAAAAATAAAGCATCAAGTTAGAAGGTATGGTGAAAATAACTAATTCCATGCACAATTCTATAAACCCAGAGAGCACTAATATGGTCACCCTTGATTAGTTAGGTTGTTGTATTGTCAGTTTGATAAACACAACCCAGAATGGGATAGTGCTATTAGTTCAGCAAAAATACCATGACTTGTAACTTGATACACATTGGTCAAAGCACAAGGTAATATAATTGTAAAAACACATATTATGCATTACAGTTACAATACAGAATTACAAAATCAGAGTGAATAGCAACATTGAAAAGTCATTCAGTGAGCTGTGCCTGATAATGAAATTTTTGTTACAATAGCAGTAAGGAACCTATTGATATATTTCATTGAAATAACTAGAAATAGTACTATAATGCCAAATAAGATAAATTCATTCCTAGGACACTGAAGTGAGAGCAGAAAATGAGTCATATCTGTCCAGTTAATAATCCATATTAATTTATGAACTTTACTTAATTATATTGATAATGATAACTAATAATAAAATAGACAAAAAATTTTGTTAGAAATTATAAAATTACACAAAAGTTCAAAATATTATAGAAGTTATTCTTTGAAGAATGACTTTGAGAATAAATTTTTAAGCTGGTACCACATCATTTTCCAATATCGCAATGTGTGTTTCCTAAAAATAAACACATTCTCCTATGCATCCAAAATACAACCATCCAAATCAGGAAGTTAACAGTAAGACATTGCCTCCGTCTAATCCTCAGACCCACCAAAGTTCTGTCAGCTGGCCATGGATTCCTAGGTGTTCACAAATTGGAAAGTTTCTGAATCTATTTTCAGGGGGAATGTCACTTAATAAGAGAAATGATGCCTAAGAAATAAAATCGTATAAATAATAAACACATCATTTAGTAGGTATCTACATTGTTTAGTAGTTTCAAATTATCATTTATGATTGTACTTGGGAAAATGTCCCTTAAATTATTCCATAATGATTTTTTACTAAGGAAACTCCAGAACTTCATTGATAATAAAATGTAGTCCTATTAACAACTCAAAAGACAATTTCTTCAAATTTTCTTTAAATTATTTATTACTAAGGAAAGTTCAAGATTTCATTAGATAATAATAAAATATAATCCTATTAACAATCCAAAGGAAAATTTGCTCAACAAAATCTTCTCTTCTTGAGTGACTATATTAGTAACAGAATGTTAAAATGATCCCTTTTACAAAAAAGGCAAATATTTTACTTCTACGTGAAAATATAAATATGAAAGTTAACAATGGACCATGAAAATATTGGAAAGAGAATGGAATTTCAAAATTAACATTTTTTCAGAGTCTATAGCTTTATTTTAGATTCTCATAATGGTCCTTGACCCCAAAGACGTTGCCACTGCCTCTGACTTCTCGCTCCACTTTGTATTGTCTTTTTTATAACCCCAAATGTTTCTTATCTATCAAAGTCATTGGATTTTTTTTTTCCATTTTAGATATGTTCATCGGGCTTTACTCCATTTACTGATATGGGCCAAGTAACCTTGCTGGAGCATATTTTAAACATTCCTCTTAGTGTTTTATAATAGCAGACTGAAATATGCTTCACTCCTTGGTACATTACAGGTGGGAAAATATGAACATTAATATTAACCTAATCTTTGTATCTCTTTCTTCATATTACTTCATATTTTCACAACTCTAACTTGTGCATTTACATAATACATGTTAGTTCGAGTTGAAACAAAGTTAGTTATAGCCTTAATAAATAGTTATAGCCCTATTTTAACTTCAAGATAATAGAAAAATTCTTCTCACAAATGTGGAATGGTTTTATTGAAAGATAAATCTACCACCATTACTAACCATTTATATGATTTTTTTGTTAATTTTGTGGAAATTGTTCCTAGATTTTAATTTTAAAAATCATTCTTAGTTCTTCACTCTTGTCTCAACTTAATGTGTCTCATTCTAATAAATAAGCAAGTAAATATGTTACAATGCTTTTGGATTTCCTTTAATATTATAAATATTGTTTTATTAATTTCAAGTTATTTTCTTCCCTTATCACGAATTAAATACTGTCTAAATTGGAAGAGAGAGAGAGAGAGAGAGAGAGAGAGAGGAAGAAGGAGGAAAAAGAGGAGGAGAAGGAGGAAGAGAGGAGGAGGAGGAAGAGGAGGAAGAGGAGGAAGAGGGGGAGGAGGAGAAGGAGGAGGTTGTTTAAAATTCAAATGTCAGTATGGACCATTGAGATCCTCCAATCACTTGTCCTTATTTGATTTCATTATATTCACCAAAGACTCATTTGATATATTCCATTTCCCATACACTTTTCCAAGGAGTAAAATAATTAAGTGACACAAACTATCCAGGTCACACGAACACTTTCATTGTGAATCAATTCATCAGCACTTTGCTCAGTTTACTGAGTGCCTACAATGTTCCCAGCACTGCAGATTCAGCAGTGACAACACAGAAAATAAGTCTCTTTTTAATGGAGCTGATATTTTTCTGAGTAGGTAATCTCCAAATAAACAAAGAGTCAGCATAATTCAGAGAATAATAAATATTGTGAAGAAAATCAAAAGGAATAGTGAAATGGTATAAAGACTGAGGACACAATTTTATATGACATGATTGGGGAAGGCCTCTGAGGAGGCAACCTCTAAAGAAAAACATGAATCCTAAGGAAGAACTACCATGAAGAGAACTCTAGATAGAGAAGCAACCATTGTAAAGGCTTTATAATGGGAACAAATTCGTTTTTTGTTTGTTTGTTTTTTTTCAGGAGGAACATCAGCACAACTGAAGTGTTCTGGTAAAGAGGAAATACTGTGCTAAGATGAAAATTCATCATGAACTTGACTTATGAGTCCTCTTTGTATATCTGATATATCTGGTGTACTGCCCAAATTGAATTTCCAGACCAGAGACATAAGCACCAGACATGGTAGGAACTTCTACAATGGCCCCAACCAACCCCGCCTCCAGGAATTCACATTCATGCAATTCTGCACACTATGCCAGATCTAATCTCTGGACAAACAACATATGGCAGAAGTCATGGTGTGTCACTTCTGAGATCAGACTGTAAAAGGACCAAGGCTCTGTCTTGGATTCTCTTTCTGTTGTCATCTGCTCTGGGAGAAACAAGATCCCAAACTGAGAATAGCCCTATAGAAAAGTCCATGGGCAAAGCCCAGAACTAAAGCCTCTACCCTATGATAACTGAAAAACACATGTGCCAAACAATGCTTGAGTGAGATTCGAAGCAAATTAGATGATAGAATCACAGCTGGACTGTAAGATTGTGAGACAGTATTATCTACATCCAGCCTCTCCCAGATTCCTTGACCCTGAGATATTCTTACACAAAGACCAATGAAGGATATTTTAAAAAATATTTATTAAAAATATCTGACAACTTATGCCAGGTTTATTTTATATTTGAAATCAAGGCCTTTTCTTGAGAGCAGTGTAGACTCTCCTCCATACTCAGTATTTTATCCTTCAACTAAATGTATATATTTAGTTGAAAAGAACAAATGTTCCTTCATTTTGGTTTAGCTTCCACTTAGCCATGTCTCCACTTTAAATTTCCTCCTTTTAGGTTGTTTATCTCTGGCATTTTTCACAATAATGCAAAACTAACATATCTTCCAACCCGGGTAAAGTGTCTTGAATTAGACCCAGGCATGATGCTCTGCCTTAGAAAATTGCATTACTCAAAAGTGCCAGGTATTGAGGTACAGAGCAGTTTCCTCCTCTCTGTGCCTTCTTCTTATGGAGGAATGCACAGATGCATCCTCTACATATATATTTAAATGAATTCCATATCATTTTCAAAAGTTTTCATAATTAAGTGACTATTTTGCAAGAACTAAATTTTCATAAATCATATCATGCTCTGAACTTCAAGATGCGTTATTGAAATATTGATTTTTAGAAACAATGAAATTCAGTATAGTTTGCTTAGGGGAAAAAATAAGATGGTTTTGGTTCAGCAGAGGAATGTGTCTAAGTCCCGTTGAAAAGAAAATCAATCACTATTCTTAAGATTTTTCTGTAATTCTAAAAGAAGGTAATAATAGCAATATAGTACCTATTCTAATCATAACATATGTCATATTTATTTATCATAAATAATTTTTGATTTTCAAAAATAATTATGACTATACAACACAAAATTCTATTGTTAGACATGAATAAAGGAAAGCAAGGTGAAACAATGCATTTTATTAAATTAAACACTGTGTTAGATACTGGATACTAGTTCTCACTTTAATATCCTGTATAGTTACATAAAACAAATTTTAAATACACTAGTAAAAAGGAAAAAATTTCAAGAATATATAACTTTTTCATTTTTGCTAAAACACTTTAGATTTCTTAAGAAATTTTCAACTTTTTTCTAAAAATTTCTGGCATAGTCTTGATTTAAAAACTGAAAAATATCACAACTCATAAATTAACTTGCAGAAGTAAGCATTCTTTTAAATTAAACCTTGTGAAACTGTCATTTTTCAGATATAAAAATGACAGTTTCATAGGTTTTAGTGCAATAATTTTTTGGCTAGTGTTTTTTTTTTTTGCCATGAGAACCTTAAATGGACTCTTCCCATCTTTACTTGTAATGATAACATTTTATAAGACACTATACATTCTTATTTAATATAAATCTCATACAGTAGTACTGTACAGGAAGAATAAAAATATTCATACTTTCTCCTTCTTACCAAGGAAAGGAAGAAAAAAGCAGACAAGGAAGAATTTGTAGAATAATGGTAAAACAACCTAAATAAAAACAAGTAGCTATTTTCCCTTGTAGCCCAAAATCACAATTCAAAATTTAGAAAATACACAGTAACTTACTTTGGTAGAGTTTTCAAGTGATTTTCTCTTAGCTCCAAGATTCGCAATTTGACAAGCCTATAGAAAAAAAAATTGTTTTTACTCTTTCAGAATAAAAAGTTACTATAATGGAACATCAGTTATTATTATTATTATGCAAATAGCTATGTTGAAATATTTTTTACTATGGTTCCAGATTTTGAAGAGATATGTAAATTGATGATGAATAAGATCACATCAACATTGGTCAATGGCAAATCACTTTTCTAAAAGTAAAGATATTCCAAAGATATCTTTGAATCCCAGTGTTCTAAATTTCTAATGTTTTATAAAAACATACTGAGTGTTATATTTAATCTCATGAATTGAAGAGAGATTTGAATACATACTAAATACTAGGTGCTGTATTCACTGGAATATAGCAATTCATTTCCCCACGAGACCATAAATGGACTTGAAAAGAAAATGACATAGATCAAAAATAATAAGCAAAAACAAAACAAAACAAAACAAATAAACAAACCAACAACTTGGGTTTTGCAGTAAAACAGATCTGAGCAAAGTTACAGTTTTTCATATTCCGCCTCTGTGACACTGCAAATTAATTAATGCCTTCTGAGTTCAGTTTCTTCATCTACAAGTGTGTGATAATAGTATCAAATTCATGGGGTTTAAAACATTAAATGATATAATACATGCGAAGCATAATTCCTAGTAGAGGTTTTAAAAATATTAATAATTGCTTATTTCATTAATTACACAATGGAAAGATGAGAAAATGCTATAGCATACCATATTTTACTGATGCTAAGGTACACATTTTAACATTTCCAGAGGGGCATTCATTTCAAAATCTGTGTTGTCAACCCCTAAGACAATGCTGGGGTTGGAGAAATCATGTGAAGAGGCTGAGAGGTGTTCATAGCTCCTGTTGCTGGGGTGATGGTTGTGATTAGGAATGCATCTTGCTTGTTAAGGTCTGCAGTCTGGAACACACTATTACTATTCATGTTCATACTGAGCTTAAAGGGTACTCGATGGGGTTACTTTGAAACAGGTATTAATTGAATTCTCTTAATTCTTTCTACTCTAGGAATATTTCACTATTTGAACTATTTCACAGATATCAACCTGTATTTATTATACTTTTAGGTACTCTTTTTTAGGTCTCTTTTCCTTTCCCTGTTTGTCTTGCCTCCTATTAAGTTTCTAATTTAATTTTAGTTGCACAAATCAATCTCAAAATGGAATATAGTAATGCAGTTTGTCAGATAATGGGTATATCACCAATAAAAATGTTTCTTACACATTTATGTACTTCAAATCTTTTAGACAATTACACTAGTATGATGATATTATGGGACTGATTTTGGCTTTTAGGAGTGCAGAATATTAGGTTTTAAAAGGGAACTTAAGCTTCCTTTTGTTAAACTACTCAGATAATTTTATTTATTTTTAATTTTTTTAAATGTTAATGGACCTTTATTTTATTCATTTATTTACTTGTGGTGCTGAGGCTTGAACCCAGTGCCTTATATATGCTAGACAAGTGCTCTACCACTGAGCCATAACTCCAGCCCCATACTCAGATGATTTTTAAAAACTTTAAATTATAATAATGAAATAGTATATTTTGACACAGAATTTACACAAAACTTAAATCCTAATTCTAGTTTTGGTATTAGTATTGTATTTTCTATTCGCCTGTATCTTGTCCTCACTTTAGGACAAAAGAGAACTGACAAATATTCGAGAGAAAAATTGTCTTAGGGTGGTAATTAAATATTTTATGATTTGGTAATTCAAAAGCATATTGTAGTGTTGTAATCAGTACCAGAAGGGCAATTCTAGTTTATATGGATAGATGGTGATGTTCCAATTCACACTTAGAAGCCAGGCAAACGATTTTTAAAAAATCTGTGAGTTTTAAACCCTGCCCAAGTACATGGTGCTTGCAGCTGTTGTAATATTGTGATTCACAAAAGTGAAGGAGTCTGGGAATCGCTTCTGTGCTCTCTGTATGTGAATGGAGGCTTCTGCAGGTTGAGTGACTTCATCATTACACTGAGATCTTAAGGTCAACAACCTGCTTCTGTCAACATATAGGTATTCAATTATGCTTGACCTATTGTTTGAACAATTTCAAAGGTAATTATTTGGAAAAATGCAGTTGACAATGAAAATGTTTTGACTCTTAAGATATATCTTTTACATAAAAATTCATTGCAGAGCACCTGGAAAATATTTTTAAAAATATGTAAATGAAAATTGAAGTTACCAAAAATTTCACTTCAGAGTAACCAGCCCCTTATTTCATGCATATTCACAGTGGAAAATTAGTTTATATATTTTTGTTATAATACACTCCTAGATTTATTGTAGGGACTTTTGAAAAATGTTTTCCTAAAGTGAGATTACTAATTGCTACATAGTATTATCATTGGGATAAACCATAATATATCTAGCCAATCTCAGACAGATGTGTGATCCCCTGTTTTCATTTTGTCAGTAATGATAAATATACTTGTCCGTAAATCCTAGTGTGATATCTGATGGTGGTATAAGAGACTTCTAGAAATGAATTACAAAGGCAATTGTTGTAAATATTTTCAAAGCTTTTAAAGCCTGCTGCCCCACATGAAGTATAACAGTCTCCCAGTTCCATGAGCAAAGCGTGAGGTTATCTCTCTCCTCATACTCAAGAAAGTTTTTGCAATATACTAGGACATTTTAATTTGTATTATATTTATTAATTGTGAAAATATGCATTTTTCATATGTTCAATTGTCATTTGTATGTTTATTATGAATGGCTTGTGCCTGGCAATTACCCATTTTCCCTCAAGAACTTTCTCTTCATATTCATTTGTAAGAATTATTTATATATTAAGGAATAAATAATTTTAAAAATATGAAAATACTTTCCTACTTCATTATTTTCCTTAAATTTTGGCTTTCTGGTTTATTTTATTTTAAAAGTAATTGGTCAAATCTATCTATCCCACTTATGATATTTTCTTTTACTTCTGTACCTATAAAGGTATTTCATAACCCAAGAGTGAAAAATATTCATCTGCATTGTTTTTCTAGATTCTTTTTGACTTTATTTTTAACTCCCTAATTTATCTAGAATTTATTTGATTATTAATGCTATGTGAAGACCTAATTTTATTTTTTCAGAAAGTTTCATTAATTAAGTCTTATTTATTGTATAATAATGAGCTCTATCTTTAATCACAACTGTCACTTTTGAAATCTCATCTGCTGGAGCTCAGAAAGCACTTAGTGAATATGAAATAAAATTGCATAATTCATATTTCTTAGTCTTACCTTCCAAAATTGGCTGGAAGAAACTCAAGAAAGGCGTCATTCAGGTAGAGCTGGGTCAGGTTTAGAAGCTGAGTGAAGCCATCAGGGAGTCTAAAAGGGAGTTAAAGTTTTAGTCACTGCATCAGTGTTGCTATAGAAACAGAACAAAAATATATATCTCTGAAAAGAAAAAATAGATATGTAATACATTTTCCAACTCTCCTTTGGTATCACAGTAATGGAAGAATTTATTGAGCATGTTGTTACAGTTTGAAAATTTTGTCTGTTATTAAAATAAATGGCATTCACCCACTTCCATGCTGCTCTCCTATACTGAGATTTATGTCACTGCTAAAGTTAGTGACAGCATCTCCTACAGCTGGCCTAACTTCATGCACGCCAGTCAAGACATATTTTTTTTTAATGGAACTCTCAAATTGTATGTCATGTTTTCTTTTCAATTTTAAGATTAGCATTACTTTCTCAATAGAACATTCATGTATATAGTCAGGCAAGAATATGGAATATATTTGATGATTTCATTTAATCATTAAAATTTGTCTATAATTTGTTACCAAGATGAAGAAAGTTACCCAGTCTGAAAAAAGAAGGAATATGCCGACAGCTTCACTAACAATTTCTTTAATGTAGGCCCAACGTGCTTACATATTATGATTCAGTTTAATCTAATTCGTGTTTGTTAAAAATGAGAAAGAATATTGAAAGGCAATTAAACAAGAACCACAGAGGGTATAAGAGGCATTCAAAATTAATAAAATATTTTTTTGGGGAAATTTTAGAAACAAAATGAGGTAATTATTTAAAACATTATATCTTCTTCACTAGAAAAGATTAAAGATTTTCCAGGAGAATTTGTTTTTTTGGAACAATATTGAATTGTTTCCTGTAAGTAAATTTCTATTTAAGCAATTTTATTACATATCTGCAGTTTAGTCCAGAGTATGTTCTTTCATAAAATACATCTAAATAGCATTCAAATTTGCCTTCTGCTCAAATTATTACCTATCTCCTTCCTTAGATTTTCTGCCAAAATTGTTTAAAGAGCTGCTGGTGTTCATTGCTTTTCACTACTCCTCAAACCATTATTTATTGGCATGTACCCCAACTCTATTACTAAACCTGTCCCTCATCAAAGGCTCCAATGACCTCTTAAGTCCCAATTCCATTAGCTTCATTTTGTTCTGTACCCCACACAGCCTAGCAACAGTTGCCATCCTTGACTGCTCTCGCCTTATTTGCTTCCTAGCACAACAGTTTTCCTGATTCTCCTACTCCTGGGACATTGTATCTGAGTTTCATTTCATGATTTCCCTTCTTCTGCTCAATCTTTGTTATGAAACATTTTCTATACATAACTGAACATATGCATGTATATATTAGAATGAAAAATAGAGATACTCTGGGTTTCAACACTGCAGCACAAAAGGAGCAGGCAATGACTTCCTCAATAAGACCCTGAAAGCTCAGAAAATAATACAAAGAGTGAGTAAATGGGATGACATCAAATTAAAAAGCTTCTGCAAGAAAAGGTGACAATTAGGAATGTGAAGAGAGAACCTACAGAATGGGAGAAAATCTTTGCTAGCTACTCTTCTGACAGAGGATTAATATCCCAAATACAAAAAAAAAAAAAAACCTCAAAAAACTTAACACCCCAAAATCAAATAACCAAATTAATGAGTGGGCAAATGAATTAAACAGGCACTTCTTAAAGAAGAACTAAACATGGCCAACAAATATATGAAAAAATGTTCAACATCATTAGCAATTAGGGAAATGCAAATCAAAACTACCCTGAGATTCATCTCAAGTCAGAATGTCAGTCATCAAGAATACAAATAACCATAAATGCTGGAGAGGATGTGGAGAAAAAGAATACTTTTACACTGTAGATGGGACTGTAAATTAGTACAACCACTATGGAAATCAGTATAGAGGCTCCTCAACAGGCTAGGCATGGTACCACCATATGACCCAGCTATACCACTCCCTGCCATTTATTCTGAAGAATTAAAGATATCATACTACAGTGATACATGCACACCCATGTTTATAGCAGCATATTTCACAACAGCCAAACTACGGAACTAGCCTCGGTGTTCATCAGCGGATGAATGGTTAACGAAAATGTGGTATATATACAGAATGAAATTTTATTCAGCCATAAAAAAAATGTCATTTGCAAGAAAATGGATGAAACTAGAGATCATCATGTTAAATGAAATATGTCAAACTCAGAAGGTCAAGAGTTGTATGTTTTCTCTCACATGTGAAAGCTAGAGAGGAAAAGGAAAAGAAAGGTGAATCTCATGAAAATCAGAGAGATCAGTAGAGAAAAGAAATCCAGGGTGAGAGGTGCAGAGGGATGGGGACAGCTCTAGGGGTGATATGGTCCAAATTATATTGCTATATTTTGTGTATGTATTAATATGTAACAACAAATCACATCTGTATGTGCAACTATAATGCACCAATAAAAGAAGTGTGTGTGGGGGGAGATACCCTCTGAGTACTACTCCTTGATTACATCTTCTGATTTGCTCCACAAATTCCCAAATGATGTTAATTATTTTGCTTTTTAAGAACTTTACTATACAACTATTTTATTATGTAAAAAAGAAACATTGTATGGTTTTGCATGTTTTTTCCTTCACATTACATAAATCAAGTCATACTGTGTACATTTCTAGAAACATTTAAAATCAGCATTAGATTTTTTTCAAATTCATCCATTTTAATATAAACGGCCATCATAGCATACTATGCCATTATATTTATATGCCACAATTTATTTACTATTTTCCTTCTAATGAACATTACACTTGTTTCTAATTTTGCTTTGTGATTACAAACACTAACTTCTGTGAATACTGTTGAACATATATTCTAGTGTACCTTTAGAAGAGGTTTACCCAAGTTACATCCCTAAGAGTGACATCACTGGGTCACAGAAAATATTTAAACTCATTATATATAGCAAGATTTTATTCAAAGCAGTTTCATCTATTTATAACACAACCATTATTGAACAAGAACTTCTCCTCCCCATGTCCTTCTTAACCTTTGCCTTTGTCAATTTTGTAAATGTAAAACAATAATAATAACTATTTCCCTGATTAATTCACAACATCTTATCTCATAATTTTACGAGCAATTTATGTTTTCTGTGAAAAACATGTTTATTTGTTTTGTCCATTTTTTTCTACTGGTGCCCCACCCACTCTCCCAGGCTTTTCACTGTAGCACACACTGACTACTAGCCCCTTATCCCCTGCTGGTCTTCAGCTGTTGGAATCTGCTCTGCTCATTCACAATCCCAGAGAATCAAAACCCCTCAGAAGCAGATAGCAGCTACTGATTACAGCAATAATAACTGGGCTCCCCCACTCACTGTGTTTGACAACTCCATGGGAGTTTGCACTGTTCCAAGAGATCAAAGCCCAGAGACCTATACTAGTAAACAGACTAATGACACCCTCAACAGGCAATTCCAAAGGTCACCTCCTGAATATACTGCCTCCTGTTTATACAGCCTGCATTCATTTCTATACATCTGCTTCAGGGAATACACATTAAACATAACTAATATTCTTATCCTCTCTTTTAACAATTACTAATACATTTTCAGGACACCAATGTTATATTGGTTATTTTTGCTGCAAACATCTTATTCTGTTTTGTATACTGAAGTTGTCTTATTTGAATATGGCTTCATAGAGAATTTTTCCAGAAATTTGCTCTTCGAGAGAGAAAGGATTCATGAAAGCATAAGAGAAAGAAACAGGAAGCAGAGGAAAAGTGGGGCGGATTATAATGTAGAGGTAAGAAGATATTTGAGATGGATGACAGAAAGATGAGTTATAAATTGAATACTTTGTTCATGAGTATTGGGGGTGAGCGTTAAGATTTGAGATCATGGATAGGGGATAGGATTTAGAGGACCTTGAATTCTCAACTCAAAGTTTTGAATTTGATCCCATGACACGAAAAAAAAAAAAAAAAAACCTGTGGTAAATAATTATTTTTCTCTGTGTTTTCCTTCGTTGCAATAATATCAGAGCTCTGATAGTATGATAGTTTTCATGATAATGGCACAGATCTTTTTTTTTTTTTTGGTACTGGGGATTGAACCCATGGGTGTTTAACCACTAAACCACATCCCCAGCCCTTTTTATTTTTTATTTTGAGACAGGGTCTCATTAAATTGCTTAGAGCTCTGCCAACTAGCTGAGGTTAGTCTTAATCCTCCTGCTTCAGTCTCCTGAGTCGCTGAGACAGCTAACACAGTTTTTAATTGACATTTACTATCCTATTATCTTATTTCCTTGGATCATTCATAGAAAGGACTTACTTATAACTTTTAAAAACAGTTCAATGCAATATATATAAAAGTAGAAAGTGAAAAATATTAATCTGAAAATTGACTTTAAAAATGTCACTACTAATTAGTAAAAATGATTTAAAAAATACTAATTTTATAGTTATAGAGACAGAACAACCTGGCTTTTCTCAGTCCACTATTCTTTCTATATATGCACAAAATGGTATTGTATCATTTATTTGATCAAAATCTATTTCTTTAATGCTGTTACTCTGACAATGCCTCAGAAAAATCTGGATTTTTATACAAAACATTCTTTTAGAGCTTAAAAATTGACCACAAGTTTTTCATGTTAAAACTGCAAAATTAGACTACCAAAAATAAATTACATGAAATACCAGAATACAAAATAAAATAATTTTTTTCAGCCTGGTTATGATACATATGTGCTGATATTCTATATTGAACTTTCCTTCTTTAAAAATGTAAACTTAAGGATATACGTACACACATATTGCCTTATTTAGTAGCATCTGTATTTTTTGATTTAATTCATTTTGATGGTTACTCTGTGCTGAGATTCAAAATTAATGCTTTTTTACTTATAGGATAATTCTGTTTACAGATGTAGTACAGGGCTTATACCAATGATGCTTTATGCTAGTATTGGGAATTTTCCATTTCTAGGAAGGATAAATTATAAATTATTTAAAGATAAAGAATGTTCTAAACATCTAATGTTGTATTTGGAAAATAATTGGCAATAAAA